GATTCGTTTAGACTTTATTAGCTGAAGATGAGAACCATGATTCACCTCGCTGTGCCGCAATACTAATGATTTATATATATATATATATATATATATGAAGGTCGAGGTACTTAACCTTACTGAATACAGAAACTAAAAGGCCAGTATTACAATGCTAAGCGTCATATTATCCATGCGGTTGGAGATTGTTGTTGGGGGAGGAAGATAAGCTGGAAGGGTGGACAAAGGAGTTCAAAACACAAACACCACTGTGCTCGGCTCTCCGCCATGTCAACGAGTGCATCCAACCAAACGTATTTATCGTCCTTGGGACCCCAACCTGCCATTTGGGAGACATCAAGCGACTCGAAGCTCGAAGTGAGGGACTTCCTTCCCCTCGACCAAGTTTCGCTTGTCCTCCCTTCCTCTGTTTCCATCCTGACACCGGTCGCGCAAGCAATGCACGTCGCAGGAGTCGGTGCGCTAGCATGCGTGGAACCTGGCCCCGTCATCGAAGCTTGGTGCGTGATATAACGGTGCTGAGCGGTTCAATCGCGCTTCCTGCACCAAATACGCGACACCGAACACGCTTATTGCTCACGTCGCGTTCCCACTAGTCAGATGCAAGCAATGACTAACGATTCAAATGTCACTGTCTGTTGCACATGCTGACCTCATAGCACACTGTTCCGCGGGCGCGCAGTGTTCGAACTCGCTTGCTTAAGTCATACTGAGATAGAAACAGAAATCAGCCCATCTCTTGTGCTCCATCTACAAGTAACGCACACATAAACGTTGCTATGTGCGCCTTACCTATGTCTCCCTCAGTACAGAACTACAGATCTAAATTCTCTATTAAGACCTTATGCAACTGCAAGAAAACATCCCTTAGTAAATCCCGTCATGAATTTCCCACATCACATCCGAGAGTTAAGCATAAACCAGGGAATCGCTATCCTATAACACGATATGATAATGCCTAACCAAAGACACCGCAACTACCCACACCAGAGCATCTGTGTCAAACGCCAACTCAGTCAAGTGGAATCAAACGATTCCGTGGCTCAACCAGCGACACTGAACCCGGCTGTAGGACCAGCCTTACCACAGCTCTTTTCGATTATTGATTGGCAGCACATTAACATCAATGGTATCGCAGCCAAGGATGGAAGTATGGAAAATTTCAAGGCCTTGCCTATTCAACAGAATAAAATCCCTCAACAACTCCCACAGCTACTAGCCTATGCTCTGTCGCCATTCCCTCCCATGGAGCTGCCTCAAAATCCTTTTTAGGACACTACGTCTCCCAACTTTACCCACCACCGCTGGGATTTCCACCGATAGGCCTGATGACAACCGATGAATTTGCTACTGGAACACCTACTTCGTTGGATCCAGTACAACCTTAAGTCTTTCAGACCTCAAATGCGTTTGCGGCAAGCTACCCGCAAAAATGCTGGCAAATATTTCCACTTAGTCCCCCTCGTATCTACTAATTCGATATAATCCTTCGATTTTGTTAGTATAGACATTCCCTTCTTTCTACCCAAATTGCATCCGCTTACAACCGTTTTTTAAAACCACCCATTTTCTTTTCAACTCTGAATCATGATGCAACTCAGACATAAGCGACCAGTATCTTACTGTTATTGGCTGTCACCTGTTTCGAAAAGCCCGTGAGTAAACGCGGAGGCGGATGTGCTATATACGTTCGGAACGATATCACAGTCATCTCCGCCGAGCAACAGGCTCTCAATGACCTAGTACATTCGTTATGGTTGGTAATCCCCTCCAGAGATCTCCTACTGGGTTGTACTTATAGATCCCCAAAGGTACCAGCCACCAAACTGAACAGTTACTTGGAGCTATTACCACTGATTCTAATATTTCTTGCAAAAATAGTTTATATTTGGGGATTCCAGCTTGTCAAATGATGAGTGGAACAGCCCATCACCAACAATGTCCGGGAGCCTCGTAGGAATAATTCATATCATTCAGATTAATGGTTGGATTCAACATGTCAATGAAACCACAAGATGAGCCAACACATTAGATCTGATATTCGCCATGAGAATCCCTTCAGTTTTCGTAAATATTGACAGCCCACTAATGGGCTGCAATCACAATACTGTGCTCTGCAGCATGAATGTCGAAATAGCAAACCAAAAGCGAGTGACTGGTAAGCCTGTTTGTTGCATCCACCTTATAGATTAAGCCACTTTCGACAACCTGACCAATACCGTAAATTGAGACACTTCCTTATTAACCCGTGATCTAAATTTAGCCGCCAAGGAGTTTGTAAACAATCTTACCATCCCTATTGACCTTCTAGCACCCATGCTGTGGATAAACACCCACACCAGTGGTAATCACTACAAGTCATGCATAGAAACTACTACTAAACTGGAGAAACTTAGGCCACAATACCGTAGTAATAACTTTGCCATTTTAATGCCATTCCATGAACCTCTACTGAAGCTAGAACAGCAAACATAGTAAGCGAAATTCGCCGAGGAAAACAAAGCGCTAAAAACTACAAAAGTCACAAACACTGGTAAAGCTTCTAGAAAAGCGGAATGCAAAACACTACCACGAAATTCAAATCTTGACTGGAAGACGGCACGACAACGGATGATGTCAGTCTAATGTGTGATGCAGTAAACTCTTATTACGCAGCTTCCTTTAATACTAATGCCAACGTTTCATTCCGCTCCTAATACGGAAGACAAATGAAACCCTTTTGAATATTGCCGTAAGTCTGAGTGGTGTTCAGAAGAGTATATTTTCCACACAATCATCGTTTCAGTCGGTATCGGATGGTATCCCCCCCCAGCTGTTATCACGTTTGGAGGCAAAATATGCGTTTATTGATGCTAAACGTCTTTACACCACATCTAAATAGCGGATGATACCATCCACATTGAGAAAACTCGATAACAGCGCCAAAGCAAAAAGGTGGCTCACGAAATGCAATGCTAAATTATCGCTCTATTAATCATACTACGGCCACTTCTAAGGCTCTGGAGCGAAGTGTTAAGAATGGTTTTCTTCAATTGCTTACATGAATTGACCTGATAAGCAGCAGTTAACACGGATTACTTCCGAGGCGATCCAGTGTAACAAGTCAACTACAATTCTTTGACCATGTAACATCCGTTGTTGACACGCATAACGATAACTATCGTCATTCTACTAGACATGCAAAAGGCCTTAGATCATGTGCCACTCAAGCCATTACTGTCCATCTTGCACTCTCACGGAATCAGCAACCCATTTCTAAGCTGGTTCAAATCTTACTTGGATTACCGGATCCAGAGTTAAAATCGGTCCACACTTCTTTTCCTCAAACGAATTCACAAATGGTGTTCAAGAAAGTATGCTTGGATCACTTCTCGTCTTGATGTGTATAAACAATATGTGTGACTCTATAAAAAACACGGACAAGCATACCTGTCTGCGGACGATAGTAAACTCGTTTACTCATTCCCATCCAATAGTCTCGAATCAGACCTTAGGGATATACATGAGAATTTCTGTGTACTGAATTCGTAGAGTAAAAATTGGTTCACGAAATTTTACGCTGAAAAAGCGCGGGCGCTTGGGCATGGGTGCTGCATATCTGAATAATCCATTTTCCCAGCTAGGATAAACATTCCAAGCTCCTCTTCAGTAAAAAGAATTTGGGGTAATATACTCCACTCCATCAACATTTCGGAGCATGTATTGTACTAATGAACAAGGCTTTATCATGGGATAAAAGCTAGTCTTTGACAAGTTCCATAGGATGGTAGGAATGAATACAATGAAGTGGTATATTGCGCTGATTCCTCTTCCCTCCCCAGATAAAAAAACGACAAAAATGCAAAAAACTGTGAGTGGAAAATTGACAAAAAAA